CTCCATGCCATATATATGCTAAAGACGATATAATATATAATATGCAATATATATCATATGCGGTATACAGTATATGCTAAAGACTGTATGATGCATAATATATAACAAACACTACATGCAATATTATATGTTAAAGACTGTATGATGCATAACATATAATATATACTGCGTGCGATATATATATATATATATGCTACAGACTGTATAATGCACGATCCATAATATATACTACAGGCGACATACGTGCCAAGTCTCTACTGAACCGACGTCTCCCTGAACTGACGTCCCCCTGAACCGACGTCCCACTTGAACTGACCTTTGTGGTGCGAGCGCTTCCTCAGCGGCCCCGGGATGGGCAGGCACTCCCACACGACGCACTGCGACATCCTTACGCTCTCCCGCACCACCGTCTTCCTCCCACACGCCTCCCTCAGCACCACCTCCCTCTCCCACCCTCTCAGCCCCCCCAGGCCCAGCCCCGCCGCCCCGACGTGGACGACGTGGGCGTTGGTGCTGTCCACGCTGTAGTGGGAGGGGGTGCGGCGCGTCGAGGAGGGCGTCGGGGGGGATTCGCAGTTGTAGGACGTGCAGGACGAAGGCGTCGGGGGCGGCTCGTGGCTGCTGAGGGAGGCGCAGGAGGAGGCGGCAGGCGGCGAGATGTTCCTGTGGGGGAGAACAAGCACACAATTACCAAAAGAAAAGTGAGTTATAAAATTTGAACTGGTTTATGTGCGTACGTATGGAAGCCCGAACAAACGGGACCATCGCATCCTTCCAATACCATTTATCTAATAGGAATAAATAAGATTGATGAAATAAACCAGCAAATATACAAAAGATCAATAAAATTAAAAGAAATTAAATGAAGTACAAATAGCGCATTCTCTGCCCCACATTTTTTTTTTTTTTTTTTTTTTTTTTGATGTAGAGACTAAGGTACGTTTTTTTATTCCTAACACACAGCGAATGGATTGGGTCGTCTGTCTGGTGGATCTGCCCCGTGACTTTCCCCGTCTTCCCTGCCAGAAACTAATTTTTATCATCATCGGTCTTCTTCAAGTACGTTTTTAGTGCAATACGTTCCTGTCTCTCTCTCTCTCTCTCTTTCTCTCTCTCTGTCTGTTTGTCTCTCTCTCTCTCTCTCTCTCTGTCTCTCTCTCTCTCTCTCTCTCTCTCTCTCTCTCTCTCTCTCTCTCTCTCTCTCTCTATATATATATATATATATATATATATATATATATATATATATATATATATATATATATATAAATATATATATATATATATATATATATATATATATATATATATATATATATATATATATATATAAATATATATATATATATATATATATATATATATATATATAAATATATATATATATATATATATATATATATATATATATATATATATAAATATATATATATATATATATATATATATATATATATATATATATATATATATATATATATATCTGTCTGTCTGTCTGTCTGTCTGTCTGTCTGTCTGTCTGTCTGTCTGTCTCTCTCTCTCTCTCTCTCTTGGTATTAACTGAAGCTTTGAAGAGCAGAGATATCTAATGCAGCAGTTTAGCAGTATTTTTATAAAATATAATGCATAAGCTTACACTTGCAAATCAGATTGGTTCCATGTGTCTAACTTGATATAACAAGTGAGTGTCAGTCATACTGAATTGCTAGACAAACTAATAAACATATATCAAAAGTAGATATATTTTAAAAATCAGTATCTAAGAATCCTTAACGAGAACTGCACGTAATTGCTTACCTGCGCGAGGGCGTGGGTGAGTGCAGGGCTTCCGTGGGCGGAGAGATCAGCTTTCTCGAGGCGGTGGGCGTGGCGCTCCCCTCGCGAAGGGTGGCCTGCGAGGCGCGCCGGCTGAGCAAGGGCGACGCTTGCCATCCCCGCGTCTTGTCCTTGAGTCTCCTGAAGGCAGTCGGCGTCCCCGGGATGTCCTCGGGGCCGAACGCTCGACGCCCGAGCACCGGCGTCTGAATGCCCACCGAGCGCGTCTTCGGGGCGGGCGAGGGCGGCGTGGGCGTGCTGGAGGTACTGCCGGTGTCCTGGGAGGCAGTGGAAGCCCGGTCACGTTCGCTTTTCCGAGAGCGTCGCCTCGGGAACGGCGAAAGGGCGTACTGCAGGAACGATGCCATTTCTAACGGTTTCCACTTTAAATCAACAACCACAAGGCTTCCTTAATCGAACCATATCACTCTTTCGATTTATCTGCGACACAATCATCCTTTTTCTAACCCTTTACCACAACGCAATGCTTATCAAAAAAATAAAAAAATAAAAAAAATAAAAAATCGGGCACCACTGACACTCGCCTTCAGCACAACACTAAACCCAAACGCTCAGAGATCCGTGTCCTTTCCGTATTCCATTCTCCTGCACAGTAGACACACCAACCCCCCCACACTGCTCGTTCCCAGCCGCCCTCCCTCCGGCCACGACCGCCTCACTGCAC